ACCAGGCCGCGCAGGAGCGGACCCCGGCGGCGCGGACGGCCCCTGCCCGCGCCCGGTGCTGCGGCCCGCCCCCCGCCCGCCCGCCCCGCCGGTCCCGGCGCCTGCCCGCCGCCGGGCCTCGGCCGCACTCACAGCATGATCCGCGAGACGTGCAGCCGCACCGGGACGTCCTGTCTTTGAAGGCGGTGGTGATGAAGCAGCCGAAGGTGAGCGCCGCCATCACGCTCAGCGAGAAGGCGAACAGCGAGTTCGCCCGCGACAGAACCGTGTTCATCGCGACCGTCTCCCACCAGCCCCGTCTCCTCACGCACTGACCCCGGGCTCCGGTCGGGCGGCGGACCGGCTCCCTGCGATCCGCGCCGCCTGCGGTGCGCGCGTTCCGGGAGCGCGCGGCGCCGCGTCCCGCCCCCTTCCGGTCTCTGAAGCGAGCCGCGCGCACCCGCCTGCCGACACACCCACTGGGCGGGAGGGCCGCGCCGAAAGGGAGCGACCGAGCGCGGCGGCCCGCATCTTCTTTTTGCGTTCCCAGCACAGGACAGCGCGTGCAAAGGCCCTGCGGTAGGAATGAACTGGATGTGTTTGCTCAGAGAACAGGCAGAAAGCCAGCCCAGTAAGTCAGAAGAGGAGGAGCGAACAGATCCGGATCCTCAACAGATCCTCACTTGGGGTTATCATATACTTTGTTTCTTTGGGCTATTGAAACAAAATATAATGCCACTGCACGGGCCGGCTTAAAACAACAGAAATGTATCGTCTTGCCTTTCGGGAGGCCAGGAAGTCTGAGATCAAGGTGTCCCACAAGGGGTGGCTCTTTCTGGAGTCTCTGTCGGAGAATCCATTTCGCGCCTCTCCCTGCTTCCGTGGGCAGCTGGGAACCCCCGGCCAGCGGAGCCTGGCCCTGATCCCCGCCTCCGCCTTGCACGGCCGCCCCTCCCCCGCGGTCTCCTCTTCTCTTCTGGGGACACCTGGCATTCAATCTGGGGCCCACCCTCCTGTAGGACAGTCTCATCTCAAGATCCGCAACTTGATTCCGCCTGCCGAGCCGCCTTTTCCGGAGTCCCCGCCTGTCCCACCGCGCCCTCGGGCTCCCTGGGGGGGCGCCACCCCCGCCCGCGCACAACCGCGGGGGCGCTGCAGGCGCGTGGGTCTGTGGAGAGGCCGCTGCCCCCCCAGACCCGTGGGGTTCGGGGCGCAGGCTCCCTCAGCCGTGCGTGGGCGTCGGGTGGACCCGCAAAACGGGGGCCCTGGGACAGTTTTGATCTCTTTGGCCGCTTAGGGGACACCCCAGCCCTGCCGCCTTGGAAAGGGGACGTGACCCCGAGACCTTCTCCCGCACCCGAGTCCTACGGAGCGGCCGCCGCGCCGCCTGTGCCCCGAGCCCGCGCGCTCGCTCTCCGCTGTGCGCAGCCAGCGCCACCGGGAGGGCCGCGCCTGTCCCCCGCGCCCGGCCCCCGCCCCGCCCCGGCCGGTCCCGGCGCCCTGCCCCGCCGGCCGGGCCTCGGCCGCACTCACAGCATGATCCGCGAGACGTGCAGCCGCACCGGGACGCTCCTGTCTTTGAAGGCGGTGGTGATGAAGCAGCCGAAGGTGAGCGCCGCCATCACGCTCAGCGAGAAGGCGAACAGCGAGTTCGCCCGCGACAGAACCGTGTTCATCGCGACCGTCTCCCACCAGCCCCGTCTCCTCACGCACGGACGCCCGGGCTCCGGTTCGGGCGGCGGACCGGCTCCCTGCGATCCGCGCCGCCTGCGGTGCGCGCGTTCCGGGAGCGCGCGGCGCCGCGGTCCCGCCCCCCTTCCGGTCCTCTGAAGCGAGCGCGCGCGCACCCGCCTGCCAGGACACACCCACTGGGCGGGAGGGGCCGCGCCGAAAGGGAGCGACCGAGCCGCGCGCGGGCCCGCCCCGCCTTCGGGCCTGACGCCGCCGCCAATCAGCGACGAGCGAGGGAGGGGCGGAGGTTAGTCACGGAAGACCCGCCTCTTCCCCTTCTCGCTTCCCCTCTATGCGCTTGGTTCACATGTGGGGACACTGGTCCCTTTCACTCCTTTCTGTGTTCTTTGGTCAGGAGGTGTGGGTCTGCAGCTTCCTGATGGCTTGTGTGCCATTCCTGTTTTCATTGAAAACAGCAACAAATCGTGGTGCTTTGGGCTCTATCCTGAAACGTCGTGTTTGGAAGCAGCACTTTACAAGACGCCCTGTCCTCTCTCTCCTTTGTCAAACCCTAGTCAAAGTTAGGACTTCAGCTTTTTTTGAGGGTCTGGGGAAAGGGAGGAAATGAGGCCGCCCAGGTCCCTAGAAGTAGTGAAGTGCACCGACATTTTGCTTTCCACTTCCAACTTCAGTCTGATTCTTACTAGTGCTTTGCTGTCTACGTATAGCTAAAGCTGTTTGAGAAGGTAACGGTTGGTGCTACCAATTCTAAATGTTTGCATTTTAACATGATGTTTTCCCGATAACTAAAAGAATAACTTCCCTAGGTTCTTAGGATGAAAAGACATATAATGGCTGCGGAACTGCTGTCACAGCACAATGTATAAGAATTTAACATTAACAATCCATCAATAAATAATGCAACTAATTCATCGCATTTCCAGTACTCTGAGAGGCTTGAGGGTTCAGCCCGTCCCAATTCCTGACCTTGAGTACCCTGTCTGCCAACACCTTTGTTCCTTTCACCGCTAAGAGCTTTTGTAATTATAAACATGGGATTCAGAAGGTCCACTGAAATTATTTTCTTAAAAATTTGCATCCATAAGAAGTTAAGAATACCTGTCCTAGAATATGGTAGGTGCAAACCAGAAGATGATCAAGATCTAACCCTGATGCTGGCTTATATTGTCTATTGTTGAGCCTTTTCTTCTTTGCATTATTCATTACCATTTTATTAGTTTTCATACAGCCATACAGGTAGGATTATTACTAAATGTCTCATGTACTAGAAATAGTTCTAAGCCTTGAGAATACAGCACTAATAAGGCAAAAGTCCCTGCTCATATGGCATAAAGCCAAGTAATGAAGAATGGATAAACTATTGGCTAAGGAGAAGTCCTTAGTTGAGTTTAAAATCTTAGTTTTTGTCTTCCAGGCAGCCACAGTTTATTCAATAAAGCAAATATTTACTGAATGCCTACTGTGCTGCAAGTGAAACAGAGATGTGTACTAATCACTTTCTACACTCATGAAGTTTATAATCAAACAGAGTTAATAAAATAAAAACACATAAATATGAAATGTACAACATATAAATATTAAGAGAAGTTACAGAACAAAAGAGGAAGAAATACATCTGTGGTGATGTAGGACAACACAGTGTATGCACAATATTTAACATAGTGTCTAAACAATGAACATTAGTTATTACTCTTAGTACAAGATGCCTTAGAGTAATGATGCTTATATGGTGATGTCCAGGAACAATATTCCCAAAGATCCGGAACAGCAAGTCTGGGTGTATCTAAGAGATAGACAGTAGTCTGGTCCAGACAAAGGATGTATGTATAAAGGATTAGGCAAAAATAAGCCTGGAAAAGTAAATTATTATAGAAAACCAGGTCAAGAAGTTAGGACTTTATATCAAGGAAATTGCATATTAAACAAGATTAGCATCACTAAATAGGCAGCCATTTATCAGTTCTATGTGGAGAGTTGAGGGGCTGGAGATGATGGCAGTGGGAGAGAAGAAAAGAAGATCTATAAGAGGGACGTGTCAGAGACAAAATCTATGTGACTTAGCAACTGCAAAATATAGAGTGAAAGTAGATTGCAAAAGCATAAATGAAATTAATATTATTGTTATGAAACCATGGTTTTGAACTTGATAGCCGGGAGTGCCAAAAACACGTAATGAACAGATAGGGATAGGATAAGGGATTCTCTCAATCTGTTGTATTTTTCTAATTGTTTCTATGGATTTTCTAGATATTTAATTATATCATCTACCTTAGATACCATTTTGCCTTTTCCTTTCCAGTTATTGTATTTCTAATTGTTTTGTGCATTTTAGCAACTGATATTTGCAACATAATGCTCAATAATGGAGACAATTGATATCTTTGCCTTGCTCCTGATTTGAACAGGAAATTTCTTTTCATTTCTCTATCAAGGAAGTTGTTGATTTTGAGATGGAAATGTTTGTTATATGTGTACATATATTAATATCATTATATATTGGGTATTGTTATTAAGGAAATGTTTATTTCCTTATTTCTTATTCTTGTTATATTGAGAGGTTTTTAAAACCATGAACAAGTGCTGAATTATTTTCAAATGCATTTTCCATATCTTTGGAGGTGATCATAATAATTTTTTTCCTTTACTAATATGATGGGTTATATAAATAGATTTCATAATTTTGAACCATGAGGCATTGCTGAAATAAACTCCGTATGGATATGATGAATTACTTTGTAATATGCTCTTGGGCATATTGCTAATTTTTAAAAATTTTTGTCATTAGTATTCATAGTGAAATTAATATTTGTTTTTCTTTTTGACTATAACACTATACTCAAGAAAATAAATTTGTAAGTTTTCTTTAGTTTTCTATGTACTAGGATATTTTAAGTAGCATTTGGATTATCTGCTCCTTAAAAATTTGGTAGAAATTCCCATGGAATACTATAGTCTTCTATTTTGATGATTATTCATTGTTAATTCTGATTGTGTATATTTGTGCTTTCTACCGTTTTCATTTATTATTGTTGTTGTTATTATGATGATGATGATTCTTTAGAGACAAGGTCTCACTCTGTTGCCCAGGCTGGAGGGCAGTGGTGCAGTGACAGTTCACTGTAACCTCTGACTTCCGGTCTCAAGCAAGCCTCCCACCTAGGCCTCCCAAAGTGCTGGGATTACAGGCATGAGCCACCACCCCCCAGCTTTCACTTATTATTTTAATTGGTATTTTTTCTTTGTTGATTTTTTTCAAGGAACTGACATTTGTATTTACTAATTAACTCTATTATTCCTGTTTTCTATTAGTAATTCATTAATTTTTGCTTTTAACTTTATCAAATTTTTTTCATTCCACTTTTTTTTGGTTTGTTAGCTTTGGGAATTGGATATTTAATTGATATATTTTCAGTTTTATTGTTATGATAATTGCTTTACTGTATCCTAAAATTTCTCATATGTTATATTTAAATTTTATATTTCTCCTTTGAAGAGTTGTTTAATTTTGTGTGTGTGTATGTGTGTGTGTGTGTGCGCGCGTCAATTTCCAAGAGGAAGGACTGTTTTTCCTTTTGATTGATTTTACTTTATGTATTCAGAGAATGTTGTTTATATATTTTTATTCTTTTTTTTTAATTTCAGAATGTTAAAGGGGTACAAACTATTTGGTTACATAAATTGCTTTTGCACTGTGCTACATAGTGTGCATTGTATCAATTAGGTGTTATTTTATCCATCCCTTCCTCCCTGCCACCTGCTTGATTTCCAGTGAATATATGTACACATAGGTGTTGATCAATTAGTTCCAATTTAATGGTGAGTACAAGTGTTGCTTGTTTTCCATCTTGTATTTCTACTCTTTGGATTATTGAGGTCTTCTTTGCAGCCTAAAATTTCACTTTCGTGAATGTTCAATATGCCTTTGAAAGGTGATGTATTTTTTTGTTATGTATCTATGAGATCTGCCTTATTAATTATATTATTTATGTCTTTTATATCCTTAGTAGTTTTTTGTTATCTTGATTTTCTCAGATTGAGAGAGACGAGTTCAAGTCTCCAATGTTAACATATTCTTATGTTTCTCCTTGCATCTCCTGTAGTTTCCGCTTTATAAAAGTTGTTATATTATTTGTCAGGTGAGTATTAATAATGGTTACCTCTTCATTATTAATGGTAGTCTTTAGCATTATAAAGTATGCTTCTTTTGCTCTTAATGCTTTTTGATGCAAATTCTAGTTAGAAACACCAAAATAGCAAAGAAGGGGATTGAGATTGTTATTTACCTAAAATGAAAACTACAGACCTCAAATTAAAATTTAGGGCTTTCAAACTAAATATCTTGTACTCTGATCATTTCTATGCAGAACCTAGTGGCCATGATGAGGGAGCAGTTGGCTTGCTTTGCCAACACTTGAATAAATAGTGGTCAATTTATAGTGGGGAAAACATGTTTGACTGTATTTCTGAAGGACAGGAAGAGCCCTAGATTAAAGGTCAAGTTTTGATCTTGTTAATTGTAAATAATTATTCTTCGGTAACATTCAGCTAAGAAGCAGAAAGAGGAATAAATCATTTTATGAGGAGATACTTTAAAAACTGTGTGAACGTGAACAATTAAGCTGTTTAAAAAGGGGGATAAACCTAAAGAGAGAAGCATTCTCATCAAATATATTGTTGCTAGGAATATCTAGAGAGTTCACAAAGCACCAAGCTACCTAAGGAAGTTCCTGCAATGGAGCAAGGTATAGATCTGGCACATTAATGACCCAAACGGTTTCAGAAAGGGACCATGAATTATACTGTCTATCATGGAGGATTATACTGTCTATCAGGATCATGTCTTGGACATTTTTTTTTTTATCCTTCAGTGCCCAGGACACTGAACCTGGACATAGCAGACACTCAAAAAAAGTTCTTAACAAATGGAAATACCTTGAATTCATAGACTGTGATATTTTTAAAGAAATTTCCATGGAAAGAATACATGTCATGCACAAGAAACAAACATTTAAAATGTAAATTGGTAAAAAGGTAAAGTGTTTAAAGCTAAATTGGATACGTAGGCCAAGGACAAATTATAAAAGGCTTGAATGCCAGGCTAGTGAGTTTGAGTATTATTCA